GCAGTAAATGCTTGCTGGGACACAAGACCAAACGCTCTCGCTATCGTAGCAGTTTTGAATCAAACTTTGGCAACGTGGAAGAGCGTTATCCATAGCTTGGCATGCACTGGCATCGAGAACGGCTGGCCATCCACCTTCACCACAAGCCATTGGTCTGTAGTGCTCATATTGTGTAAGTCCATCGGTCAAACCGTTACCGATAAGGACGGACTTGAGGTTGATGTTGCGTTTCTTGTGAGATAAGATTTCACTGGTGAAAACTGGAATGTAATGACCGGCATAAGATTCACCAGCAATGTGGAAATCTTGCTTGGCGTATTCAGGGAATTGTTTGAAAAACAAGGTGAGAAGAGCATAAACATCCTTGCCTGCAGCAATTGTGTTGCTGACAGATGAACCACTGTATGAGTATCCGACGTTAACCGGTTGGTCAAGGAAGATGACGGAAGCATTGGCGTTCCATGAGTATGGGTTGTTGTGTAGTTTGAGGTTCTTGTCAATTGAGGAAGGACCAAGTTCGAGGAAGAGGCCGGTTAAAGAAGAGCATCCTGGCCCTCCGTTCAACCAAAGAACGACTGGATCGTTCTTAGGGTCATTTCTAGATTCAAAGAACCCTAAATCTTATTAGCACATTTGTTCGTGGTTAAAAATGATATCGGAAGGAAGTGGTGGCGCTGTGATCAAGAAACGTGCTACATCGTTATGGCATCGGAAGAAAAGCAATACTCACAATAGAAAAGATGCTTATCATTCTCCTCATCATCCAAATAACCACTGTATTGCTTGACGGTATCAACACCGAGCTTACTAGGGTCAACCTTCTTAGCTCTCATGTTGTAATGCTCAAGCTTTCCATCAATTTCACGCTCCTTCTCTCCCTTTGAGTTCTCAACCCAAACGCTTTGAATATCTGCGCCCTTGACAATGTAATCCCAAGTAGAATCTGGTCTTTTTGTATGAGGTTTTGGTTGAGAGAAGAAGGCAGCTTTTTCCATCGCCTCTGGGAAAAGCATTGAAACTTCATCCCAGATAGCTTTGGCTTCGGCAGTCATGCCTTTCATGGAACCAGTGAGTTGACCCAAAGATTCCATTGATTTCGACCAAGCATCAGAGACTGGCTTTGTTGCTGATTTGAATGGGTTCTGGAGAACCTGTTGTTGAGGTATAGATGCCGCAGCAGCGCCCAAAAGGACGGTTGATGCGAGAAGCTTCATGATGAAGTGCAATGAAAATAGAAGCTGTGTTGTTGTAGTTTTATTCTATTTCATATGATGATGTCAAAAAAAAGAAGGATGTTGTGATAAAGAATAAAGAGATGGGAGATGGCAAGAAGAAGGATGAAAGATGGAAGGTGAAGGGATGGATGGGATAGACGGGATCTTTGAATGGGGTTTCAAGGCGGTAACTGCTGAGCAAGTTGTTAGGGTAACCAAGAGCTACCCAAGTTGCTGATGTGCGAGTGTGCTTCGTGCTTGTGCGTGTTGTGCTCGTGCCTCAATTACCTACGTAGCAAGGCACCCTTGGGAGATGGAGGTTGGATGGATGCTTATCAGTCCAGCCATGGGAATTACCGCATCCAAAACAACATATGGCGGAAGAATGCTTCATCATCATCATCATTATCATCACAAGATCATTACTTTGGTTAATGTCATTGATTAATAAATGTCTATCAAATCATCCATTTTATGATGTTAACCCTTCATCATAATAATTGTTACATCAAGTTACCTCGAAATATCTCCAAAATATCAACGCAGAAGCTTGATATCATCGCAACTTGAAGCTGTCGGAGCTCATCCTTCCAACAGGTTGAAGAGAAACCCAGCGTATCACAACAGAGCCTGGGGCTAGTCTAAGATTCCCCTGACGCCACTGCATAGTAAATCTGTCAAGGTACCCGCGAGGGACACATGACTCCGGTCTCAGACTTTCATTCACCGATAAACCATGATTCAGATGTGAATACTACTAGGTATGATGGCTGTACGGTAAAGGAGACTTTGATAGAATCGTGCTTCTTTCATCAATGAAGAATCAGGATGGCTCATCGTGACTCATGATGAAGATATTGTACGAATTGTTGATATTGAGGTCTCTACGCTCTCAATCCCACTAAGATAAGTGTTCGATAGATAAGCTCGAGATGCTTAGAAATGACGGCGAACTTGGTATCAAACATGCCGTGCCTTTATTATTAGTGACTCAGCCGTTCCGCGGGGTGATGTAAGGGTAAGCCCGCGCAAAAAGAAAAATCTCCAAGACCATTGAGAAAAAAAGATATTCCAAATTCCTTTTTACGATCAACACCACCTCACGAACCGTCAAGATGCCCATCAATCAACCCTCTAACCAGATTAAACTCACAAACGTATCCCTTGTACGATACAAGAAGGCGAAAAAGCGTTTCGAAATCGCCTGCTACAAGAACAAAGTACTCGAATGGCGTTCCGGCAACGAAAAAGACATCGACAATGTTCTTCAAATCCCTAACGTATTCCTAAATGTTTCGCGGGGACAAACGGCACCGACGGCCGATTTAGCAAAGGCTTTTGGAAAAGATACTCCAGTGCAAGATATCATTCTCGAAATATTAAACAAGGGAGAATTACAAGTTGGCGAGAAGGAACGACATGCACAGTTGGAGCGAGTGCACAATGAAGTGATCAGTATCGTAGCCAGCAAACTTGTGGATCCAAAGTCGAAGCGGGTGTACACTACGGGAATGATAGAGAAAGCACTCGAGATGCTCAGTTCGCAGGGTTCGCAAGCACAGGAAAAAGATAAGAATCTGGGCAGCGAAACCGCAACTCCGACGACGGGAGAAGACGGGGAGGCAAAGCCAATACCTAGAGCGAGGGAGCATGCTTGGACGGGTGTTGTGGCTACCAAGAGCGCAAAGAGTCAGGCGTTGGAAGCGATGAAGGCGTTGATTGCTCACCAGCCGATTCCAGTCGCGAGAGCGAGGATGAGGTTGAGAGTTACGTTACCTACCAAGATTTTAAAGCAGGTGGTTAAGGCTCCTGGACCAAAATCTGCTGATGAGGGAGAGGCCGATAAGAAGGAGACGGTCAAGGATAGGGTATTGGGATATGTAGAGCAGGTCGAGACTCAGGATGTGATGGGTTCAGAGTGGGAGGTAGTAGGATTTGTAGAGCCCGGTGCATTTAAGGGAATAGGAGATTTTATCAGTACCGAGACGAAGGGACAGGGAAGAGTCGAAGTGTTGGATATGGCTGTTACTCATGAAGATTAAGAGTCCAAGTATTCCGTTGCAACTTGGATTTGGTATCATTTAGCGGGTCTAGAATGGCGTTGGGGGTAGCAAAAGTAGTTTACATTTTACCTAGTAGTTATATATCCTGTAGGTTGACTCATTTATCATTTCAAGAATCAAAGAAAGTTACGTCGTACACATGTGCAGATATAATCATAGCATTTTGACACAAGTTCAGCTGCGGGAGAATGATCTTATGCAGCTCAAAGGTCCGACTTAAACATTCTCTGCTTGAATTTCGTTAAGAACAAAACGTGATGCAGATGTACCCTCCATTAGTTGCCACTTGCTCCTTCCAAATCTAGAATTACAGGACCTTTGAGAAATAGGGTACTGCCTTCCCTGCGAAGGAAAGCATAATATGCGAATGAAGGTATAATACGCGAAGGGGTAACAGAAAATACATTGTCACCTGTACTCTATGATAAATGCGCGGCTAACAATTTCAATCACGGTTTTGGGGCATTTGGACTCCAGATTCTTTGTAAAAACAGCTCTCATAATTCGTAGGCATACCTAAAAATCAATCTTGGCACATTGTTCTGAAAGCACATAAGATTATAGTGAAGCCATTGATGATTTATTGTTTCCTTTTCATGAACTGATTTCCCTGGGGCATGCCCAGTAACAGCATCATGCTGTAGAAGCTGTTAAGCCAGATGTAAAGTACCAGTCCATCGCAAAAGCCACACTCCACCCAACCGTAAATCCCAGAAGCGCAAATATTTAGTTTCCCTTCTTCTTGGAAACACCGACGGTTCTACCTCTGCGACCAGTGGTCTTGGAGTGTTGTCCACGGACACGGAGACCCCAGTAGTGACGGAGACCACGGTGAGCACGGATCTTCTTGAGGCGTTCCAAATCGTCACGGAGCTTGGAGTCGACACCGTTGGCGAGAACTTGGGAGTCCTTACCATCGACGATATCGCGTTGTCTGTTGAGGAACCAGGATGGGATCTTGTACTGGGTTGGGTTTTGGATGATGGTAACGATTCTCTCGAGCTCTTCGGAGGTGAGTTCACCAGCGCTGTAATTAATTAGTCCTTTGCCCTTCTACTCTCGTGACTAATGTATTCCATACCGCTTGTTGAGATCGACATCGGCCTTCTTGCAGACCAAGTTGGAGTAACGACGTCCGACACCCTAAAATGGAATTAGAATGATGGCAAGGCGACGGGAATGATGGGATTTTTGCCTTTATCTTAGTTAAAGCAAACATAACTTTCTGCTTTCCCTCAACGTTGGTGTTGAGTAGACGCAGAATGTATTGGAAGTTGGACTTCTCCCCGCTGTAACCAAGTTGTCAGCAAAATGTCGAAGTTGGGGGACCAGAAGCTATTTTTTTGAAGCGCAACCTCACTAAAGGTCGCAAAACAAAATTTCCAGCAATTCGGTCTTAAAATAGGGAGAAAAGGGCTGAAATTGGGTTTCGCACGTAACAAGAGACATAGTGGGCGACGGTATCTGGAATTGTCGATGGTGTCGAGAGGCGTTTCGAGAGGCAGAAAGTTCGAGAGGTCAAAAAAGTTCATACAATTCGCTTCACTTCAGGAAAGTGCAAAAGTCGATTTTAGCGCGCTTTCCGCATTTGGCTTAGTCAAGTCATGTGTTTAGGGCAAACTACAATCAAGCGAGCCAAAACGGATGGAACTCCCAAAAATTTACAGCATCAAGATCATACCGAAATTTTCCGTACTAACGACCGCAGCAACCAAACGTCAAGATGGTACGTTGAATGTGTTTTCTATTGTTACTCTGGAGGGTGTACGATTGTTTGGAATCAATTGCGACAATTAGATGTTGGAAAATGGATAATTGGGGACTTGGTGATGGAGGGGCCGACCGCAGGGAAATTCGAAGTCGCTGAGCCAGATCTTTGGCTCAACTGATCTGGAACGCTTTGCAAAAGATATCGCTGGTGGTGGGAGGACTTTATTTCAAAGAAATCTGGCACTGCTGAGTCGAGTTCTCGGTCCCTTTGTACTGGGTACATGGCAAATTGCGCTGGTGACGGAAGACTTACCTGTGCCGTCATATTTTGGATATACAACTTTTACTTGAATAAATTGCTAATCAGGACATCTGCTTATAGGTACGATACGCTGCTACTGAGATAGGTACGAAAACGCAATCGACTTTGCTTGCCTCAGATACCTACCATGGGTAATTGCTGACTTTACGATCAGAATCGGCCAAGAGCGCCAGATCCCGCGGTTCTTACCTCCGTGTTTCTTTCAAGAATACCCGTGAGACAGCACAAGCTATCAACGCAAGTTTTCGAAGCCCTTACGATTCGACAAGTACTAATAATGCGTAGGGATGGAAGCTCCAGCGCGCCGTCAAGTTCCTTGAGAACGTTCAAGAACACAAGGAGGCTGTCCCAATGAGAAGATACGCCGGAGGAACTGGACGTGCTGCTCAAGGTATGTTCGAGCATTGATATCAGAAGGGAATCGAGAAGTTCGGGTTGGAAAAGAACGGGAGGCTGATGGGGATATTTCAATAGGAAAGCAATTCGGTGTTACCCGTGCTAGATGGCCAGTCAAGTCCGCCGAGTTCCTCCTCGGTCTCTTGAAGAACGCTGAGGCCAACGCCGATACCAAGGGTCTCGATACCGGAAACTTGATCGTTAAGCACATCCAAGTCAACCAAGCACCAAAGCAACGTCGCCGAACTTACCGTGCTCACGGTCGTGTAAGTTCATATCGAAAGCCTACGATACACCCAGTACTAATATTTAACAGATCAACCCATACATGTCAAATCCCTGCCACATCGAATTGATCTTGACCGAAGGAGAGGAAGTTGTTCAAAAGTCCGAGGCCGTTGTTGGACGTGAGACCGCACACTTGTCTTCAAGACAACGTGGTGCTCGTATCCGTCAAGCTATCACTGCTGCATAGATGTTCTCTTTTTATGGTTGGCTGGGGTTTGCGCGATTGGGCATTGATATGAAGGTCATCATACAAGGATATCTCAAAAAATGGATGGCTTGTACAGGTGACATATTGCTGCACTATAAATGAACCATTAAATGAAATTCTTGCAGAAAATTTAATTGCCTCTTGACGAACTTATCTGACTCTTTCCACGGGTGCTTGTGATATATTTGCTATTTGTTCTCGAGTACTGCCAAGTCAGGCACAATCTTATGGGAGTTGGAGAACCCTCAAGCTTCAGGATGGATCAGACACTAGCTATTACCTGCAGGTCTCAATTCTCATTCACGAGCCAGACGCGGGCCTAGATCGTTCTAAAACGGTTGGCAACTCAGCAGCGCGGCAGTTGGCTTTAAGCAACTAAAGAGATCTCGGCATCTTCAGTATCTACATCCCAGCTCTCCATATTTCGAGACACCCAAGCTCAGGCCCTGTCTACTTGCAGCAAAACCTCGTAAAGCACCTCAAAATACCCGGCTGGCTCCCCCGCTCGTCGAATACAACAATACGTAGGTAAATACCTACATAACACGATCTGCGTTCCGGATATCTCGCTACCGGTTTTACACATACAAGTCCAAATCCCTTTTACACATCATCGAATATGAATAGCATAGTGTCTCAATACAGCATAGCACATTAACGCCGTCTACCACCCAAATATCCCTCAAGCTTTCAACAAGCAAGCTTGAGCTTAGGCTATTCTGTCACTCTTCCACATGACTGTCACCTTAATAATCGATTCATTCCACACCGAGTTCCCTAAGGACGCCCAACACCTACCCAAACTTTCTCGTTCCGCTCTTCCCGCTCCCTCCTCCTCGATGCTTATCTCTATCTCACTCTATCTTCGGTCCTCAAACATACCATCGCCCTTTCAATCTCCCACTATCCATCTCCATCTCCTATACTCCCTCAGATCCCTACCCCACCATCCACCTCTCTCCCCTCCTCTCCTCTTGAGTCCCATTCCCATCCCTATCTCCCCTTAAAGATAACCACCTCTCACTCCATCACTCTCCATCGCCCCATCATCCCACCTCACTCACTCCACCAATCCATCACTATCCAAATCTACGTTTCTTCCTTCTCTCTTTCACGCTCTCTCTTTATTGTCATGATCATCACCACTATCATCAGCAGCCTTCTAATCTCACCAATACAATCTAGGTTTTATCCCCAACCATGGCTATACCTCTTTAAGGGGACACAAGCAATCAATATAAAAAGAGAAGAGAGCAGGAGAGGGAGAAATGATTGGCAGGAGGGAACAGATCAGGTTGTTCAGTTATCAGAATAAACTTACTCGGAGTTTTCAAATAGCCTTCTCGACTGCAGTCTAAGCATCGCTTTGGATCAAATTCAAATGGTATGAAATATCGAATGCAATCCAAACATCTTAATGACTTCGAATATCGGAAGCTATCAAGACCATCAAGCACCTTGTACTCATCATTATTATAGCATGCAATCACGTCACATCAATGCACCACATTATTTTGATCGATTTTCATTATGTAAATTATACACTATTCCTACAAAGTAACAAGAATTTTCCGACTATCTTCGTCGTTATCATTCATGTGAGTTCCCAAAGCGCCATGGAGGGTTTCATGTCAACATTCCAATGATTGATAGATATCAGCAAATCTGTGATACAGAAGGTGCATCTGATCTAATCAATGGTGTTGAATACAATTATTCGTGATCTTGAAACATCCGACATCTTCGCTGAACTCCCTTCCCAATGATTTTCCATATCAAATTCCCGTCCAATCCAGATATAAGTCGTGAGACCAATTGTTTACCCTGATATGCAGCCTGAAATGCAAGTTTGAGACAATACCAAGAGCCCATTCGTTATGCTTTGGTGTCATGCCCTAATGACCCCGCCATGCTGCCGAAAGAAAGAAAAAAGATGGTAGTATACAAGAAATAGGTGTATGAGATGATAAAGCCATCCTAAGACATCTTTATTCCATACAAACACACCCCAAAGAAAGAAAGAAATTATGGTACCAGTAAGATTAGTACGATGGCAAGGTAATTGCAATTTTTGCCCCTGTAAAACATGAGAACAATTATTGATGCATCAAATTAAACTTCAGGAGCTGAATTCGGAGTTGGAGCTGCAGCTACAATGGATCCATTGAATCTTCCAGAGCCTGCGCGTAGAATCCCATCATGATTTGCTTCAGTTGTTAGCTGCATGGGTAAATTTCCCCAACCAAGAGTCATGTTCCACGCATTTTGTAGAATTTCAACTTCAAGATCGCTCATCGCGTTCGTGATCGAAGCAAGTAGGCTGTCACCCGGCTTCATCATGATGCTCTCATAGTCATTGATTCTCTTTGTTACTCCGGCAGGTACGGATCCGCGCTGCTCCCCACCACCTTCGTGAATTGCTGATTGATTGAATTCAAGAGGGAGTCGGGCATATCCACATGACTTGAAAACGAGTTGTTTCAAACTACTCTGAGTTCTAGGTTGAGGCTCTGCACCAAGTTCGTTGGCATGACGCAAATCTGCTAGTCTATTACCAGGAGTCAAAGTGTCAATAACCTGAGCCCAGGAGCCATTGCGAGGTTCATCGAGCCATGCTGGTTGGGCATTTGAATTGGTCATGACCGCTGGCAACTGAGTTGCTGGCGGTGCTGCTGCTAGAAATGGTGGCAGTGCAGCCATGTTGGGTGGAAACAAGGCGGCATGTGCAGCAAGATGATGATTATTCGCAAAGCCCATGTTTGCCGCCATATCTACCGCCATGGCTTGTGCCAAAGCATTTTGCTGGTGATTTGCTCGAGGCATTGGGTGTTGTCCAGGGCGAATGAAGGCGGTCAATGAAACCGAGTCAAGTGTTAAGGATTGAAGGCTGCATTGTTTGAGATCTTTGACAAAGCGCGTGAACATATGTGGACTTAACCAACAATTCTTCAATGACAGATTCTTGATATAGGGTAGTGACAGAACTTCCTTCTCTCCTTTTCTACTAACCATGCTCATTGAATCTGATACTATGGGAGCAGCAAGTATATGCTGGTTCCGGCAGAAAAGACCGGGAGCATACTCTCCACCGCCGACCCATTCAAAATGTAAAGACTCGATCTGCTGTCGTCGAGATATTTGTTTGGAAAGGAGCTGAAAGACACCAATGACAGCTTTAGATGGACGTAACTTGATGTCTTGAACCCAACTGGTAGGAAGTTTGACAAGTTCACGCCAGTCGGGGATTATGCCTAGAGATAGCTCAAGCAAATTTGGTAGACTGTCCCAGAAGTCATCGCGTACGAGGTTTGGTAAATGTCTGTTTGGCAAACGGGCGATGGTAAGTTTCTTAACACCGGTGAATGTGACTGGGCTGTCAATAACGGCAATAGTAAAAGTTTGCATGAATGCTCGCTGTGCCCATTCGAGTTCAAGTAACATTTCTTTTTGTGCGCCAGTGAGTTCGTTCGGCTTTAGACAATGGCTCTTTGACGTCGACTTGCGCTTACGACCCGGGGCACCATTAAATCTAGAGCGTCCGGGAGCATTGTTAGAAACGATGGCTCCGCTTTGAGCATCACGCTCATCTTCGCCATCAGTTGAAACTCTATCCTCTGTGTTCAATCTTTCATCATCATCATCTTCGTCATCTACTGCAGGATTGCCAGTTCCGAAATGATTTCCAAGTATACGAGCAATACCCTCTTCGAAATCAGCATAAGGAATGGAAGGTGCATTAGGGACTCCAGCTTGTCGAACTTGTGTACGTGCATTCGCGGGGCCCCCGTTGGAGAGAGATTGGTCGAGAGATTGGTTGGTTTGATCGCTGCCAAATACTGATTCCTGGAACACTCTTTGGAGTAACGAACGTGTATCATTTAAAAGCTCTGTTCGAAAAGGTGGAGTAATTTGATTAGGTCGCATGTTCTGCTTTGGCTCAGGTTCAGGTTCTGGTTTGAATCTTGTTGATCCAAACACCGCGGGTTTGTCGCCACGCTGAGCAACTTTATGGTTAACGTCTGGTCCAGCAAGCCATCCCAAGCCCCCATCAATAGAGAGGCCGAGTTCTTCTGCTGCTACAATGAATTGAAATGCCTTTGTCATGGTTCGAGTTTCATCAGCTTTCTGCTCTAGACCCTCTAATTGTGCATATCTATTATATTCCTGGAATGGCCATTTGTAAGAACCCCAGAAAGTTGTGATTGTGTCGTGATCATGCTTTATAGGAGGTTTAGTCAACTTTGCAATATCGACCTCGAAGGCTAATTAAGTTATTAGCAATTTGTAAATATTTAGGGGTGAAATGACATACACATAGCAAAGTGTCTGATGTGCCGACCGAAACCTAAGAAACATTAGTAAGGCTGAAGATTAAGTAGATAGACTCAACGACTATATACCTTGAAAGATACGCATGCCCTTGTCTTGTAATAATATTGAGCTATGAGAAGTGGACGGCTCGGAAGCGATGCCATAAATCTCTGGTCTAAATGGAACCACTACATATTTGAAAAGGTATTCGGAAACATTTGCTTCAAACTCATGATTTACCAATCGCATGCTATGGATGCTGGATCGAGGTAGATTCATGATGATGAGATTGAATATCTCCACCGGGACTTTATTGGGTGGCCAGCTAGCTTGACCTACTTTGGTCAATGAATTGGATTATGAGGATGAGTCTCAAAACCTACTTGTTGTCATCGTCATGACTTCTTTTCCTTTTCCTTTTGCCGTCTGCGCCTGGTCGGGAGTTCTTTCGCTAAGTTTGCGACGCTTTGGAGAATTGATATCCATTGTATGTGAGAGAGACTATAGACAAATTCAAGTGAAGTAAGGTGCGGGGCACGTATAGCAACACAGGAAAGAGCGATCCTGATGTCCTTTAATTTCAGTGCGAGGTACCTTGAGGATTATTTCGTTCTGAGAAAGAGTGAATACCAAGAGGATTTCTCTTGATCTTGTCCGTGATTGCAATTGTAATCATGCACCTCTGTGCGCCGTTATACGACGATAATCTTCTTCAAAGAGTTGTAAGGTTACAGAGAAGGAATTGAGGAACCCTCCTAAGAAAAGAAGAGAACTAATGCAAAAATCTGTGCTTCTCTCATTAACGGAACTCCAACTCTTTGCGAGTACTTTTTGCAAATACTTTTGATGGTATGGAGAATTGGTTATTATGAGGATGCGATGAAATGTTGTTGTTCATTAGGCTGGGGTTTGTCTGCCCCTCAGGTGGAAGAACGTCATGCTAGTTTGCTTTGGAAGTGCAATTAGCGCAAGGTTGTTGACAGCCTTGTCTATTGATGCCTAAGGCCATCATAGCCTATCTGGACTTTGCTCGGATTCGGTCCCTTGATCTATGAATCTTCTTCTAATCACTTGCATTGTATTCAAATATACGTTTAGTACAAAAACAACTTCATCTCAACCCTTACATTTTATACACCGGACGCATTGTCTAATTTTGACGAATTTCATGTTTTGGTACTCCATTTCAACTTCCACATGTATTCCGGACAGCTAGAAGGGTCCGGAGATACTGGTAGCCTTGCAGAATGGTACAACAAGGATACCAGGGATAGATAGAGTACATCTATTTTGGAGTTACGCGGGTAAGTCCGCTTTAAGAAGTCTTCTTTGAGAGCTATCTTGGGACGAAAGGAGAATCGGGCATCTCAGTCAAGTGTGATTATTCGACCAAGCTCAATGCTAACCTTGATGTCTTTTCACAGTACGCCGCGGCATATTATTACAGAAAGGGGGGCTGCTGAACGATACAAGTATATATGTCTCCAATGGCATGTATCTGAATCGAGTACCGGAGTGGCTAAAACGAGTATCTCATTCAATTTTTGATCTTCAGAGGCTCGAAAGATTGCTACAAATGCTTAGACTTCGATCTTTTGCCCATGTTACCGGTATGCTGGCCTGCTAAAATTGCGAACTAATCGTCTTCTCTCTCTCCTTTGTTCTGCACCAAAGAATGCTCACGAAACCTCACAATCTGTTGATCCTCTATTCCGATGCAGACATAAGACATGCTCCAATGTGTAGCTGTTTGTCTATTCTAGTGTCTTAACCTACATTGAGAATCATGTCTGATTCTAATGGGACTTCTGGACAATACTATACAAAGTTGGTTTTTAATCTGAGAACCCTGTTCCATAGACTTGTTCCATAGACTTGTGATCTCAAGCGAACAGTATATCAACAATCAGACTTTCAATGCAAGTGGTGGTTAATAGTCTCAAAGACCTCTGATGAAAGTCGACATTCCATCAAACAATTTTAGCACATCTGCCTATATCCACCCCTGCACCATTGTAGAGTTGCCTCAATTTTGTTCTAGGCTTTTCTCCTTCAATTGATGAGTCGAAACTTGGCGTTCTAGATATCCTTGACGCATGTCTCTTTAGCATTATGCTTGATGGCGAGTTTTCAGCGGCTGGTAATGATAGCAATATATCATCTGCCGAATTTTGTTTGGAGGCTGTGGCTTCACTAGATTCATCCTTCATTGCTTGAAGTGGTATATCTACCCGGGCTCCATCTAGGTACGTACTATGGGACCATGCAGACTCCAAACCCGGAAGAAATTGCTCTAGCTCGCGCATTTCGACCCAGGTTATTGTATCTTTGGTCATAGCAATATACAAGTCTTCAATTTTACCAAACCCGTCAAGGACAGCGCAGTGCTTCTTCAAGAAGTTAACATCATAATCGCCGAAGGCCTGTTCGGTTGAAGTTAGTATCGTCGACACAGGCAAAAGAATAGTTCCGGGGCATACTCACTAACTGTGCGTCTAGTTGTCGAAGCATAGGAAGGCCTCTTAGATTTTTGACATCACAGATCTTGGCCACTAGCGGTTGCCAAGGCCTTCCTCGCAGGACTGGCGCAAAAGCAGAACTCACGGCCTCCTTGAAAGAATCACTATTCGTGTCGGACACAACTATCTTTTGATGCAAGCCTCGGGATAGACATCTTTTGTAAGCCGCCGTGTCCTTTTCAAAGGGGAAAGGCTGAGATGATGTGGGCATAAGGGAGACATGTACAGTCCATGAACAAGTTTCACATCGATCACCCGAAAGATCTCTTTCCGGGAATTCCTGACCTGATGCAAAACCATTCATAGGCAATTCAAAATCCCCTATAGCACCACCTTCTCCAGAATTTGTCGTGTTCTCAACTGCGATCTGCAACTTCGCAGTAGGAGGCGTTGATGCTTTTCTTCGTCGACTCCTTTTTGAAGGCGTGAGAGCTTGCGCCGAGATATTTTCAAGAGCGTCTACTCTATCTTCTACTTTCATTGACGCATCGTCCAACTCGATCATCCTAGCATGAATTCTGTGTACGTCATCCACCAATCCTTCGATCCGATCATCGTAATGTGGTATTCGCTTGTTCAAGAGGCCAACGTTCTGCCAAAGACCGCCGATGCCACGATGAATATTTCGCATCTCAAGTTCGCGTTCCAAGTTCTCTTTTTCCACAAGCTCTTCTAATTTTATAAGCCGATCAAACAAGCCACCTTTCCCTATACGCCGTTCTCGATCTAGCTCCTCCTCGAGAGTACCAATCCTCAACTTCAACGCATCTAATTCTTCTTTACTAGAAGATTCTGGGTCTGAATTGTGATATACTGCCTGGTGTCCGCAATGGCACAAACTGCCTGGAATGGACCTGTTGGATGCAAAGCCGACGCACGCGCATCGCAGCTGCTTCGATTCAGGATATAGCAGAATGAATCTGCAACCACCCTTGGGAAGATGTGAATCATCTGTATGAGTTTTGTCGCAATGGGGATCAGACATGCTCGTAGCATCTGATGCTATAAAAAGTAAAAAACTCCAGGAGGAAACTCGACATCAGGGTCTAAGAAAGTTTATTGCAATGATAATTTGATTCAGAGTGGCTAAAGTCAGTTCCGTCAACATTCGTCTGTTGAGTTTCAGTCCTAATTACTCGTTACACGTTCCAAAATGTCATTGGGGTGCATTCAATTCCATGAGCTGATCAACCTTTTTGTAGTACTCAAAGAGTCCGAAATTCGTGAAAGGTGCTTCATGATATGCGGAACATTCTGGTTCATATTTGATGTTAATTGGTATGGGGTTATCAGCGAACAAGCCTACAAAAGTAAAGGGTGTCCAGGGTCTAAAGATAAGCACCCCTCGCCATTTGACATGTACGACCAACGCGGGTGAAACGAAATCACCTATTGGGATTAATTAAAAGACTCATGCGGGATACTACCGTACCTCCCTCATTTCAATCAACGTTCCTGGTAGGAAAGAAATAGAGTCCAAAAAAAGAATACAATCATATTGTAAGACAGATATAGTTATGCAGAAAGGTGGACACTTGTGGGATTGATCTAGATTCTGGAGAAATCCCCACGGTTGTACCAAATTTTGCAAGCATATAGATGAATTTCCTCTGATCCCGGGTATACTGTACTAAAGCAAAACGGTCAAGCGGGACGAACCGCAATACTCTTTTCTTCATTGAGCTCGATACGATTCAAGACTTTTGACAGTCTCTAGACAGTCTCTAGATACTATTTTCTCCTCTCACCTAGTCAACAAAGAAGACCTTGGTGATTAAGTTACAGGTACAACACGTATATTATCATCGAGACCCTCTTATCAAATTACGCGACAGCTCGACAAACCTGCCGTGTTGCAACCGCATCGATACCGACCGAAAATCGTCGAGCTTGACGCACTCCGAAATCCCGGAAATTTAATCATATTCTGACCGATCTGAAGGACTACAATATAAAGATGCATGTGAATACGACATTAAAGAACCCCCGCCAAGCACCCCTTATACCATGAACCTATCATCAGATCCTTCAAGATATTGCAAATCGAATCACGAATTGTGCAACGCAGTAGGAGAAACGTGGGGTTTGCGGCTCGTAGCCAGTCCCTCGTCTCTCCGATATCGAATGTTGTCTCAAGTGGCACCGATAATTCCCGCAAGGAGATAGCAACTCTAGTACTCTACCCCATCCTCGCACACCATACTGATCAAGAATTCGGAAAGCATTGGGTGGGTTTTGATTGGAGTGTAACTTGACCAAAGTATGTGATGAGATGGTTTCTTGGTACACTGCTTGGAATCGGCAGGCATGTTTGTCGCAATTTATGCGTGCGACATATTTATCCTGATAAGGTACCCCCCACGTTGTCAGGATGTTCTTTGGACGGCTTATGTTCAGTACAATCCGAGATAGTTGTTGGTCCACCAGTGATCTTCATCTCATCTGCTAATTGCACGTGATCCGGTATTCATCTTTTACCTTTGTTTGATTCAGATGGCAGGGAATTTTAGTGTTCAATCCTCTCTTGATCAAATTACTCATTGTTGTAATCTTCAATTCCAAATGATTCCATGTCGTGTGTTATACTTTCACATTGGTTGTCACACGTGGTAAGAATGCCTCCTTCCCCATACTTGTACTTTTACAATATCAAACTCCAAGGATCCAAGTGGGTTTCGGCATTCAACTTTTCGATAGACAACATATTTGCTTTTAACCTTGGAGCGTCTCGCACTACCTACCCAATGTCCCCTAAACAAGTTTCATCCTTCCAAGCTTTCAAAGTGCTAAAATGACAAGGACTTTTGCGCAATCTAGATGATAATAGCTCGGACTATGTATGTGTACACGAACAGCTTCTCCATACACAAGGTCATGTATATATTAACGTTACCAAACTTCCATTACAACCCTCCTATTGGCCATTGCCGACAAGTGGGGTGGAAATCGTGGGCGGCAAGAACATGACTGTCCCCCAATCAATCAGCAACTGAGATACCTAGCATAATTGATACTTTTCTCTTCCTCTTACTAATGTGTTTCTGATTTTTGAATTTCAATTGCATATATCCAAATTTTACCTATTCAACACAAGTTGTGTCTTACTTTACAATGGGCGAACTAGACGAATTGGTGACTACTTTACTCGGTACTTTTACCAGTGGTATAAGACTTCTCAGAGCTCGTCGCAAGAGACAGACAAACAGCAGTAGAAAGATCGATCATGACAATTGCGAAGAAACTCTTCTCATAAAGTCATTCAAACAATCCAGATCAGATATCCGAGAGGCATACACAAGGGAATCCATCAAATCTGGCCCCAAATTCTCCAAAGGCGATGGTATGAATCACAACCCTCACATTTGCAAGCTCCACATTCTCATTCCAAGCCAGCGAAAGCGCGCTCTTCACTATCTACCATACTATCCCGACTAAACACTGCTTTCACCTCCGCGGTCGCATTATTTTCCCAGGGCAAAGTCAAGCCCGCCGATCAAGAACTCTTCATCAAACTCTCCAACAAATCCCGCGCGGAAACCATCACTGCCCTCGATAGCCTCTCCAAGCGCCTATCAAAATCTTCCCCCTCCCTCGTATCCCGTGATCCCGCAACCCGCAGTCCAAACCATCGTCGAAAACGACATCAAACTCCCCCTCCCCCTCCACCCATCCCCACCAAACCCACCGCTCTGGGTCCAGCCACAAAAAATGGCTGGATCAGACCCAAACCCACGAAAAAAGATATCCCGAAATCTAAACCCCAAGCCCGGAAAGCAACGCTCACAAAATCAACACTGAAAGAAAAGTCAGCGCCCTCGCAATCCTTCACGCTACTAGAAGAGAAACAAGAAGCACTCCCCAAACGCGCAGCGGAAAATCGAAAATCCGGCTTCTCTTTCGCGTCAGATAGTACGAAACTGTAAGTACGATTCCATCGTCTCCTCTTTTCTTATCTTTCTTTTCTTTCTCAAAAATATAAACATCACATCACATCACATCTCCATCAATATCTCCATCTCCATCTCCACCCCTCAAAAAAAAACACCACTCACCTCCCTCCCTCCATCCAGCGGCGAGATCCCAGACTCCAGAATGGCAATACTACTACAACCTGATACTGGTACTAGTACTTCATCCCATAATCAATATTCCCGATACTATCCCACCGCGGTAGCATTCCCCCTAGCGCCGTATCAGCCCGCGCCGCGAAAACGACGGTTTGGCGTGCGGAAATTGTGGAAATGTAGATCGGGGGAGGAGGGGTTGGGGTATGGTCATGGTATTGGTATTGGTAGTGGGAATGGGAGTGGGAGTGGGAGTGCGGGGTGAATGGTTGGGATGGGATATATCTAGATACCTACCTACTTATTTTATCTCTTGTGTTTTATATCTACTTTTATGGCTGTGTGTGTATGTAGGTGTGTGTGTATGTGGGTGTGTGTGTATGTAGGTGTGTGTGTATGTAGGTGTGTGTGTATGTAGGTGTGTGTGTATGTAGGTGTGTGTGTATGTAGGTGTGTGTGTATGTAGGTGTGTGTGTGATGTTTATGATGTTGAAATAATCTGATTTTCTAGATAATTGGTTCTAGAGACTTTTACTTCGGACACTTCATTGCTGTAAGAAAGAAGGCTTTGGTGTTGCGAAAAAGATAGAAGGTTTGCATATGTATCTTTGATTTGCAGATTTCCATAGTCTGCATACCAAATTTCGAATCTTTAGACATATAATATTTTCAAAAAGTTGGCGAGGTTGAATTATTTCTCAGTATATCCAAATTTCAATATCCCAAGTCCAAATCAGTCACAGTCGTTATCAGCACTGTCCCTCATAAATCTCTCCCATCGTACCCCCCCTCATACATCCCTCCCATCCCTCCCATCCCATTCCACCCCCCCTCCCCCCTTCATCCTCCTCAATTTCTCCCCCAACCTCCCAGCAACCCCCCACCTCTCCGCTCCCAGCCCATCCAAAACTTTCCTCCCCTCCCCCAACATCCTCCTCGCCCCCTTCCCATCCCTCGCACACAAATTTCCCACCCCCATAACCAGCGCTCGCATCCCCTGTCCCCTCTTCACAAAAAGCTGGACGAGCTCGTCATCTGCCGGTCGATCGAGTTGCATCGTGCTGGGATAGGGATGATAGAATTGTTCTTCTTCTTCCGAGTCTTCCTCCCTTCCTTTTTCTCTCTCCTTTGATGTTCCCTCATCTCCGTTCTCGGATGCATCTCTCGCACTACCATATCTCTCCCCATCCCTCTCTCTATGATAAACACCCCCCTTACACTCCGCAAATAGGCCATAAGCCCAAAGCGCCAACGTCGCGAGATAAACCGCCTCAGCCTCATAAAACGCATCGATACTAAATCTTCGCACATGCCAAAAAAGCGCGCCTGCGTGAATAATTGCCAAACGTGCTTTATGCTGATCTTCCGTTGCCCATCTCTTGACATAATCGCGTGCTTGAAGTATCTCTCTTTCTCTCTCATTCTCCCGATCTGCATCTCCCAGATTCGGGTTTCGAGTGGTGTGTGCAGAGGCGAGATACTCTGCAAGTTTCACAATGTGTAGAAAGGGCGTGAGGAGCACCACCCTCGCTAAGTGTAGGTGTAGAACGGTGGGGTGTTCCATGCCGCTTGCAGCTCCAATGACGCTATTTGCATGCCAGTGTAATATATCCAAGCAATCGCAGGCGGAATTGCGCCAATTTGTATATGTTTGGATGCCTGGTAGCCAGATGGGATGATTCGAGGTAGTGTGCGGGAAGGATAGTTTTGAGACTGTAGGAGTCCATTGGGTAAGGGGTTGTGATAGGTAGTTTGAAACTTCCCAGGTGCGTCGGAAAAGACCATGGATCAGAAGGATACGAGAAAATTCACCTGTGGAGGATAGCAGTCGTTTTTCGGTGTACATGCGCTGGAGGGCGTTCTGGAGGGTAGAGCTTGCTGCGACGTAAATTGTGAGAATGGCGGGGTTGGATGATGGGGGTTGCTAGATACGTACATGAAGAACAGCTGAGAAGTTGTTGCCATTCAATTGCTGATTCTGCTTCCCATAAAACTTCCTGGCATGGTAAGAATACCGAACTATCGTCTAGCGATAAGCTGGGGCGAATTTGAAAGTGGAAGTACCACATGCTATCTAGGAGCTAGGGAGCGTAAGAACTTATCGTATGAAGATGGAAATAGAAACGCATACCCAAATACAATAACCTGTCCTTCGAATACTTTCAGTATCATACCATTCTTTCCATTCTCTATTAGCCTGTTCCGTATCATTTGGACTTGTCTGCGACACTGCAATTCTCGGTATTTGATTCGAAGTTTTCCATTCATTACAACAGAAATCGTTAAGATCCCTATGATATGATCTCGCTGCGTGTGATAACTCATCACTACCGCAATACATCATACCTACACAGTTTAGAAGTTTAATTTGTATCATCATTACCTTCGTACATCTCGAATCCCCATCATTGCTGACTGACATGATTGCACGTCGAAGAAATTCATGCATGGGTTTTGCGTGGTTTCCATTACCATGGTAATGACTTCCTACAGCCGCCATAGCTAAAAGAAAAAGCCAGTGAGAAGCCGAAATATTGAAAGATGGCAGGTGAAGAAATGGTAATGTTTGATGGAAAGAGTCAATATAGTGAGCTATAAAGCGGCTCAGTGTGTACAAAGATGGGAATCGTGTGTATTGGAATGGCGTAAAATATGGCGAGTTCTCGATGCATGTTTTTTCGAATGCATCCTGAATAATGCTGTAGATTTCGTGTGGTAACTGTCTATAATCCGAGGAATGGTCATTAGTATCATCAACTGGAAAAGCAAATCTTCCGTTCAAATCGTCAACCGAGGGGTGTGATATTGATGGACATGAGTTGGCAGTCTCGGATGGAGCTTTTCGAATACGGGGTAATCTCGAACCATGCCCGTCAACATAGTATCTACCAGTGCTTTGCGTAGTCAGAGAATTAGGACTTGTTGGAGCACCTTCACTAGATATTGTTGGATTGGGAGAATCATTTGTATGCAGTTGCGCTTGAATTTGTGGGGACGGTGGAAAAATGGCTGTATTGATTGAATACGCAGGCCTTCGGATAGATTCTCCTGGGACGGTAACAGGTGATGAGCCATTCAGATCTGTCCTGTCATCAATCATTCTCACTGCGTCATCATCTAGTTGATAGTCCGGAGCCCAATCGTAAGGTAGCCAGTTGATGGAGGATGCATTATATTGAGCCCAAGAACCAGCACTTTCTGGCAAACCTTCAGCAAGACCTGTATCCTGAATATGTAGCTGATGTGAAGCCTGGCTCGTTCCAATCAACAACGAGTTGGCAGCTCCATCAAGATCCATAATTGAATGAAGGGGTAACATTGAAGGTGAAGTTGATTGATGGTTAGGAGATGTGGTCAAGTTTGCGCGAGCATCTTCTGACATTTGATTTTCTGTTGGATGGTTTGACGGAGAAAATTGGCTGAATGGTTGGTGAACCCCAGAATTCATAATTTGGATATTCATCTGTTGACCAGTAACATCCAGATTCTCCAAGCCAAACTCTGAACGGTAATGACTAATCGAAGATCTCGGGTTCATTTGCGTATTGAGCGGTGAATCAACATGTGACCACGAAATTGGAGATTGCGGACTCGTGATTCCTTCCCCAGTTCGACCATTTTCAACCCAAACCCTTTCATTTGACACTTTCTCGTATATCCCATTGGATTCTCGACGTTTTTCGTTGACCATAGCACCAGAAGACGAGGGAAAAGTACACTCAATTGATCTTTTCGCGCATGCTTCGCATGGATTTCCACCACTGCATCTTCTTCTCGCCATTGCACAAGCCGAACAAGCTCTAGCTCCTCTTCCCAGCAGACTTCGTTTTGCTTTCTTGTGAACCAATTCATGTCGACGCAAAGCATCACTTTGAGCATTAGCAATTATCTCCGGTCATCCATTGATACACGATCTGTGGATAGCACCTTCCAAACTCACATCCGATAAAAACTCTTCCTACACCCCCTAGCTTCACATCTCAGCCATCCCTCCTTTGTATGGCTCTTCTCATGTCTCGTCAAATGTTCCACTCTCCCAAATGTTTGTTCGCAACTCGTGCAACTGAACCTTGCGGTCCTCGCAATTTCTTCTTGCTGTGTATCTTCACTGCCATCTATTGTACCATTAGTCCAATTCTACACATTGACGTACGTACAACATATGTAAATGCAGAGCGTTTAATGAATCACACACTCAATTCGACATCCAAGGATCCGATACGACTGCGGTTTCCTTGAGAATTGCCTGTAGCATGGCCATCTTCCCTCAATTGAGAATCCATAGCATTTCAATGTTTTTTTGGGTGTCGATATTTATCCTCCGTCTCCTAGGTACCTCGTTTTAGCTCGTCCAAAAAAACATGACCATATCAACATAAATACCCAATAAGACGAAACATCGAACATCTCAAACCAAATATCCAACCTTCACCAGCCCGCACCATCCACGTGTGCTGGCCCGTACAACCCAACAAGCGCTATTTCCCCGCATCTCCGCATATCAGATTTCATACGATGGAAATGTAAATGCAAGGGCTTTCAACCTTGTCATGTTGATGATTGGTCGCGCATATAACGGGTGACAAAATTCGGCCAGTAAAAAGACCGAGGTGAAGCTAAGATCTATGGGGTACGAGATAAATTCACGTGATATTGAATTCTCCGTTTGTCTCTTTTATGTTGCCACTTATTTAACAATGCAATCTGTTATATTTCCTTCCATCATTCATTCATTTATTCAAATAAATTGTGTGAGTTTATAAACATCTCATTGAAGTTTGATGTATACTCGAGTATCACCACCCTACTAATCTAGCTTTATCTATTATCCTCCTCATTCATTTCTCAAGTCCATTTCCATCCATCTTGTGATACATGCATGCAAGACCAGCTTTGCAATATTTTCCGTCCCTTCCATCCTTCCACATGTCCTTCCTTTATAAATGTCCATATCTTGTGCATATGCCCAGGCCATTTCCCAAAACTCCCCGCTAAACTGCAAAATGTAGCACCGCCCAAAATGCCAAGATATCATCCGGTCGTCCCCATCATCATATATATACATGCAACCTAATACTCATACACATTACCTCCCATACCTCATCTTCTATCTCTTTCTCGCACCCTTCATTTATCACGGATTGTTTCGCCCAAATAGCCCATATCCTCCAAGAAATCCGCTAACGCACTCCCTCCTATTTTCGCGCTGCTTTCTTGAATTCCGTTTGCGAACCCCGAATCGCGAGGATAAGAATCATTACTATTTGTTTTTGATATTGGATTTGAAGCCTTGCGAATAGTCTGTTCCGAAGCAATATCTTCATCTGGTAAGCTATATCCTATAAATTTTCTTTTTTCCACCTCGGAGATCATTGGATTATATGTAAAAGTATCGCCCGTTTCTTCATTCAAATCGCTTTCATCATATGAATCGAAAATTGATGATGTATCGCTGAAGCCGAAATGGGAATCCGTTGGTGAAGTAAGAGCCGTTGATGCGGTGGAGACAGAGAAGTGGGACATTGGTAGATTCAAAGTAAGGTTTGGAGGAGGAGGAAATGAAATAGGAGATGTAAACGCATCATCTGGAAGTCGTGGTAGTGGCTTGTAAGTATTAGAGGTTGGTGATGGTTGCCGACGAAATGGCGCTGGAGATAATCCGGTGATACTGTCGTTATCTTCAAAGACAAGTTCTTTGAACTGTGTGGCAAAGTTGTCATCATCTTCGCAGTCTTCGGAAATGTCCTCAGGTATACCAAGAGACATAAGACTGTTGTGCACAGAATCGTGCGCTCTGGTAAAAGATGATTTTCTAGAAATTGGTTCGAATCGAGTCGGGCTAGTTTGATGAATAGTGTTTGAGTTTGTTGAAGAACTACTTCGTGTAGTAGCCTGACTGATATCGGGCTCAGATGATCGCCTTGAAGCGAGTGGGGGAATAGGCGATGAAGGTTGTGATCGGCGGCCGGAAAAAAGTTTTGTTGCCCAACCAAGCTTTCTATCTTTTGCCCAAGGACATGGCTTTTCCGTGACCTCCGCGCCCGAAGACGATAATGAAGCAGGTCGGGCAACATTTGGCTTCGATGGAGGAGCACGAGGGGGCATAAATTTATCCGCAGGATTCATTGTTTTGGCTTCTGTAATATTTATAGAGTCCATGGAACCACTTCGAAGTCGTGGTGGAGAGACTTCAACTGGGACCCAGAGGATATTAACTGGTTGGCCTGGCATATAAGGACAAGTAGTAGTGGAAGGTATAGCCGTGTCATGAACTTCGATGCCGTCATCAAGCTCATACTAAAATTGTAAGTATTTTTCCTTCAGTGTTTGGGATATTAACATACATAGTAATAGTATGTTGATGCCATTTTCAAACCACCGGTCCTTTTCGAGGAACCGTTTCCATCGCCATCACAGATGATATCGTCAAATGTGTGGCAACCTCGCCATTGCTCACGAGAGCGTCTTGAGTCTCGCTCCATTGGGTATCGTTTGGTGAAATTATCCCAAGATCCGATGAGATGGACTGATTGTGTTCTAGGAGTTGCTTGACTAAATAGAGCGTCCAATTAGTTGTTATTATGAGTTAGGTATTATGATAAAACAATATGTTCAGTCCTTGGGGGCAGGATGGTCTCTTATGTTCATATTCGGACACGGTCTATTAGACATTCCGATGGGCTTTGCAAAAATCCATCTCATATCTTGGCAAAGCAAGAGCAACAAACTTCCACTAAAGATGCAGCTCGCATGCCGAAGTTTCGAAGACAACGTATGTCACTAGCAGTTCCCAAGCATCTGCACAACAGACGTCATACCAAGCTTGTGACGAGAGTTCATCTAGTGATAGATGATTCTATAATAGAAAGTTCTTCAATGCTCGCAAGAGAAAGATGTCCACCATGCCCAAGTCGAAACATGCTATCTTCTCCGAGGGTTCCGTTGGGCATGAAGCCCAGACCTGGCCGGTAAACTTTACCAAATATATTCCACGCAATGCATGGACCCAAGGCAATGAACGGCTTTCAACAAACAAACTTTCCCTCACTCCAATGATGTATCAAGGGATGATCAATGCGCACACAAAACACGTGATACAATACTGAATTTGAGTTCAAGGAGGAAACAAAAACGACTACACTTACAACATGAAAGTAATTAGAGTAGTGTCCATGATTTCGGGAGGGTTGGAGAAGAAACAAAGCGAGTTAGATAAATTAGAGTTTTGTAGGAACTTCAACGGCTTCTGGAGCGGTGCATCGTTTGGAATCTTTGAATTTGCGGGGAGATCGTAAAGAAGGCCGGATTTGAAAGATTGTCTGATACTACAATACGTCCGAAGTGTTTACTTGGACCTGGGATCCAGGCGTTCGTCCAATCCGAATCCTTTGATGTTTATTATGGCGTTATGAGAGCCAAACTTTCTCCTTCAATGAATTTCGATGCGAGCTTTTTGAAACTGTGGAGCCGCGGTGACAGGAATTGGCGAGGTCAAGAGGTATGTCCGTGGTTAATGATAAAGAGGGTCTGCGCAGATGAGAATCCAGATTTTATTGTTGATGGAAAGAATTGATTTGAAAAAGATTGAAATGTTGTATCATACTAGGAGTTTGTTGAAAAGAGAAGTTGTGTATAGGTAGGATAAAAAGTCAAAAAACTAAAATGGGAAAGACCAGGTGATGAAACCTCCAATTCGGAAATTGCTTCAAGTAAAGGAGGAATCTAATAAGATGGATGGCGGAGAGCATTTGATATAAAAATCGAAGAGATACTACTCCGTACATTAAACAGGATACCCATAGACCACCTGGGCAAAGGGTAGAGTATGTTAAGTATGGAGCTTCAATTGTGTAGTTTTGAGCTATGAATTACTAGTTGACGAGTGGATGCGCCGAGCTGGGTTTATGGGTCATCTGGTATTTCAGGTAGATTGTGTATCTTCTTTATTTAGACCACTTAGGAATAGTTTGACGTTACTATTAAATGATATAGAAAAGTCTTCAGCTGAAAGAAAAAACGAAGTGAAGGGGGTTGATGTGATTTGACATGATTTGATATGGTTGGTGAGATTTATTGAACATTACCTCGCATACGAGTACATGTATGTATGTATGGTATGTATGGTTAAGCGGTCGAAAATATGAGGAAATGTGAAGGAAGTCCTTGTACTCTGTACCTACATATGATAGTAACCTTGGAAGAGGGTGTGAGGGTGTGCCAGCCATGCATGGTGGCGTAGATATACTCTTTCTAGAATTGAGGCTTACCGAGGCTTACTGAGGCTTGAAAGTTGGATAGCTGATGAGGATATTGCAGGTGATGGATATTGATAGATATTGAGGATATTGCAAGTGATGGATATTGCAGGTGATAGATGTTGATAGATACTTAGGTATTGAGAGATATTGAACAATAATCAATTTCCACTGGAATACTCACCGGGGCAGGTAAGGTTTGTCTTGAAACCGGGAGTGGAGGCTTATTATTATCCAGTATTACCTATTTATATATATACACATACAAACCTAGGTATATATAATATTGGAAGTTTATTGCATAAATTGAACCTTAATGAAACCTGAATGAAGAGGCTTTCCCCTCTCTTCAATGCCTTGCTCTGAACTTCTTGATTCTTTGGTACACCAGCGAGACGAAGTACTCACCACTCACCACTCACCACTCACCACTTACCACCTGCACATTCTTTCCCTGGTTCTTTCCCTGGCTTACCAACTTTTTTTGCATGAATTCTTCAATCCCATATCCATCTTTCCCGTAGATCTTACCTGTCTGATTTTCAATGGAATTTTCTTACAGGCCGAAGATTCCGATTCTCTTGACATCGTTGGTTTCACTATCGACTATTGTCGGCGATCATCTTTGATTGAAGAGGATTCAACATCTCTCTTTGGGTCTCTTTGGATCTCTTTCGGAGCCTTTCTTCCCTACCTTAGGGGTTGATGCCGGAGTGGAAGGTGGGCCATTTCCGGTGAAGTGGGGTTTATCCTTCCTTCGTCTTGTTTTCTTTTGGTCCGAGTACGTACAGCTGGAGAATACAGAATACAGTAAGTAGGGTGGTGTTTGGTCCTCGAGAGTTCATTTGTACCACTGCAGGCGAATCGAATGTGATTGACTACATGGATATGGCCCATGAACCGTGCGAGAATGATTGGAGGAGATGAGAGGAGATTCCTACCACTAGAAGTGACAGAACCCCTTTTTGCAAGCCTCTGCAGCAAGATTCAAGACGTCCATGTCAAAGTTTGGTAAATCCCTTTCTATG